GATAGATAGACGGATAGGTGGATGGATATATATAGATAGATAGACAGATATAGATATATAAGAATGTGTACATTCTGTGTATATGTATGTACATATATATATATATATATATATATATATATATATATATATATATATATATATATGTGTGTGTGTGTGTGTGTGTGTGTGTGTGTGTGTGTGTGTGTGTGTGCGTGTGTGTGTGTGTGTTTAAACAGATAGATAAATAGGTATATATATATATATATATATATATATATATATATATATATATATATATATATATATATATGTATGTATATATATATATATATATATATATATATATATATATATATATATATGAATATATATATATATATATATATATATATATATATATATATATATATATATATATATATATATATATATGAATGTGGGGGGGGATAGAAAAGATAACATAGTGTGTGTGTGTGTGTGTGAGAGAGAGAGAGAGAGAGAGAGAGAGAGAGAGAGAGAGAGAGAGAGAGAGAGAGAGAGAGAGAGAGAGAGAGAGAGAGAGAGGGAAGGATGGAAAGAAAATGCGAAGAAGATGTAAGAGGGGAAGGAGGAAAACATAGAAAGAGAGGAATAGATTGAGTGAGGAGGAGTGATAGAAAGATATGGAGATGGAAAAAGAAAGAAAGTGGAAGAGGAGGGCGTGAAAGAGAGAAGAGAGAGAGAGAGAAGGAAAGAGAGAGAGAGAGAGAGAGAGAGAGAGAGAGAGAGAGAGAGAGAGAGAGAGAGAGAGAGAGAGAGAGAGAGAGAAAGAGAAAGAGAGAGAGAGAGAGAGAGAGAAAGAAAGAAAGAAAGAAGAGAGAGGAGAGAGACCGAGACAAACAGACAGACAGACAGACAGAGACAGAAAGAGAGAGTAGGAGTGAACGTAAAAAAGAAGTAGACAAACACGGAGCGCAAATACCCTGTTCGAGTGAAAGTGTTCAACGCCACACAGAACAGCTCAGCATCCCATCCTCTTCTCCCAAACCGTTTTAAAAACAGCTTTTCCTCGCCAGGATCTTAAATATCTTTTCCTGCGAGGTTCACCGTCACTTCGGGTCCTAAAAAAAAAGGTGTTTTAACCGCAGTGTCCTGTTTATCCCTGATCGAGCTGTGGGGGGAAAAAGTTGTTTGCAACAGTATAAAAAAAATAAAATGTGTGTGTTGAAATGAAGAGAATCCTGAGGTGCTGATAAAGGAATGTTAAATGCTCAATTCACATTTTTATGTTTTGAATCTGAAAATCATAATCTGTTGATATACTGTACATATTTTTCCTTCTCTTCTTATGAAACCCAGGAAAAGGTTGAACTATCGTGCAACGTATAATAGTAAAATAAAATCCGCTTGTATCAATTTAGGGACTGAAATGATTAATCATCAATAATCACAAAAAAAGTCATTTGATAGCTAGTTATGCACATGTCGACACTGTTTATCTTTGCAAGGTTAAACTGTGCAATGTGGCTAGTGATGCAACAACATAGTGCTGAGATGTAGTTGTATTCATAAAAACATTAGGGGATGACCGTGAGCTAGACTGCCCTCGCCTATTCACCTATTCACTTACTCACCTATCTCCCTGCTTGCTCACCTACACACTTATCCACCTACTCACCTATTCACTCATTTACTCTCTTACCTACCTACCATTCCCCTTACTCATTCATCTTTCTCCCACCTACTCTCCTACCCCTTCATCCACCCACCCATCCACTCACCAACTCACCCACCCACCCACCCTTCTTCCACCCATTCACTCACCCACCTTTCTCCACCTACTTAATCATTACTCATCTAGCCATTCTCCACCAAAGCCTGACCATTAATTCCACCACATCCTGACCATTTTCACTGTTCACCTGCTCATCTGCTCATCTGTTCATCTGCTCACCTGTTAACTTGCTCATCTGTTCACCTGTTCACTTGCTCACCTACTCATCTGCCCACCTGTTCACTTGCTCATCTGTTCACCTGTTCACTTGCTCACCTACTCATCTGCCCACCTGTTCACTTGCTCATCTGTTCACCTGTTCACTTGCTCACCTACTCATCTGCCCACCTGTTCACTTGCTCATCTGTTCACCTGTTCACTTGCTCACCTACTCATCTGCCCACCTGTTCACTTGCTCATCTGTTCACCTGTTCACCTGTTCACTTGCTTACCTACTCATCTGCTCACCTGTTCACTTGCTCATCTGTTCACCTGTTCACCTGTTCACCTGTTCACCTATTCACCCTGCTAGATGTTCTTCCCCTGCTAGTACGTCTAATCTCGGAAAAAAAAGAATAAGTGGCAACTCACTTTCGACTCCGGGGAACTCCGATTCGCCAAATTCTGTGAAAAAGTCGTTATTCGTGATGAAGACGGCGAGTTTCAATAAAGATTAAGACATTATTGAATAAAATAATAGTGCATATAAATCTTAAGAATACAAGAAAAATATAAACAAAGGTATAAAGTATCAGACGATTAGATTTTTTTTTTTCTAAATAGCATTAAAAAATCAGGAGGCGAATCGGAGTGCTCTTGAGTCTGGGGCGAGTTGCCAGCTTGTCTTTTTTTTCTGAGATGAGATGGAGTATGGATGACTAACCTCTGTTTTTATCACCCTCTTGGCCGCTCCTTTTCTCTCCTTCCTTTTCGTTGCTTTTGTGGAGAAGTATGAAACGTTAAGAAGGATAAACACACGTATACTTAAGTTTTCTTCTTTTTCTGTTTTTCTTTCTTATTTTCAATCTCTCTCTCTCTCTCTCTCTCTCTCTCTCTCTCTCTCTCTCTCTCTCTCTCTCTCTCTCTCTCTCTCTCTCTCTCTCTCTTTGGCTTCTCTTCTCTCTCCATCTTTCCCTCTCTCTTGTCTTCTTTTCACTTGTCTTTTTTCTTCTCTTCTCTTCTCTTTTCTTCTCCTCTCTCTCTCTCTCTCTCTCTCTCTCTCTCTCTCTCTCTCTCTCTCTCTCTCTCTCTCTCTCTCTCTCTCTCTCTCTCTCTCTCTTTCTCTTTCTTTCTTCCTTTTTCTCACTGCCATCTGTCTCTCTCATTCATATCCACGAACCTCTTCCATGCTTCCTTCATACCTCATTCTTCACTCACATTTCACTCACATTTTATTCATATCTCACTCACACCTCATTCTTCATTCATATTTATTTCACACCTCAATCTCCATTCATACTTTATTTATATCTCTTTCATATCTCATTCATACTCTATTCATACCTCACTCATACCTCATTGTCCATTCATAATGAATTCATAATTTACTCATACCTCACACATACCTCAATCTCCATTCATACCGAATTCATACTGAGTTCATACTTTACTCATACTCCACTTGCCATTCATATTCATACTTCACTCATACCTTACTCATATCTCATTCATACCTCATTCATCCATGGGGCTTTAACCTTCCCGCGTGTCCGGACTTGGCGAATTGAGAACGTTGGGTGAATGAGAAACATTGCAAGGCCAGCATGATATGTTCCGTGAGAAAATGTTGCGGTGTGTGTGCGGGGAGGTTAGTGTGGGGGGGTGGGGGCGGGGGAGTGTGGGGAGGAGGGGGGGAGGGGTGTAAGTGAGGGGAGGTGAGAGTGGGAGTGGAGGAGTGCGTGTGTGTGTGTGTGTGTGTGTGTGTGTGTGTGTGTGTGTGTGTGTGTGTGTGTTTAGTGTATTTGTGATGTAGTAAAGTAATGTATACTGTTTCTCTTTGTAAGTCTCTTGGGCAACTTAACCGTGTATTCAAAATAAGATATTTTTTTCTGTCTTTCGCTCTATGTTTTGTCCCTTCTTTTCCTTTATTTTCTTTTCTTCTATCTTAATTATAGCCATTCATGTACTCCTTTATTTGTTCATTTTCTCTTTCTTTCTTCCTCCCTTCCTTGATTCATTCATTCTCTCTCTCTCCCTCGACCCTTTCATTCTCTCGGAAAAACATCTCTTTATTTCACAGTCACGAAAAAAAATAATAAAATAGGCAATTTCTGTTTATACTTAACAGTGATTGTTTTTACATATTTTTAGGATATGATGTATACACATACATATATAATACTTATATGTCTACATATACACATGCATACATACATGTATACATACAAACATATATGCCTACATATACACATACATATATATCTCCAGAATCCAACCATCCATCTATCCACACATACGTATGTAATAGATAAATGCAGACATGCATACATACATGAAAATATTAATACTGAGAAATAAATGATATTCAAAATAAATTTAAAAAATGATAAGGTCTGTGCAATTTCTTTACATACATAAAACTGCAACGGCATTTCGTAAAAAGAGAAAAAAATGTTAGCCTTCTGATAATACAGTAATTAAGTGAATAAATGCAATACTTACAGCATATGCGAGCAAACAGGCGAAAAATAGAAAAGATGATGATTTTGCTCTCAAAAATATTGTTATGATATTAACAGTAATGGTGTTGGTGACAATGACAGTGATTAATATAATTATTATTGTTATTATCGTTATTGTTATCAATATTATAACCATCATTATTTTAATAATACTACAATGATAATAATGATAACCATTATTATTATAAGTATTATTACTATTATTATCAGTATTATTATTATTGCTATTATTATTGTTATTATTATCATTATTACAATTATTATTATTATCGTCATTATCACTATTATTATTGTTATTATCATTATCATTGTTGTTGTTATTGTTATTATCACTATGATTATCATTATCATTATTATCAACATTATGTCTATATTTTGTGTCTATTTATCTTACTTTCCTTTTATAATTGAAATCGTAACACGAAATTAATAACATCATCAATACAAAAATCCATAATTCCAATTTTCAGGTGAAATGAACGGCTAAAACTACCTATTAATTTCACACATCTTCCCATCCTCTTTGAAAAAAAAAGTATATTAAAAAACACAGCAAAATTTCTAATCCAAAGACCTTTCCGCAGGTGTTGTGGACGGCGCTAAGCCTGGCACTCGGGGTGGAGGTCCAGGGAGAGATCATCCGGGGTCTGCCATGCATCCAGAGACACAATCAGCTGTTTTGCCGCACAGCTGGTCCCTCTTACCCAACGTACGTGCGAAAGTCCTTGTCGTCTGTGGTGTTTTGGGGACTTTCGTTTGTGTTTTTGGATTTTCGTTAGTTTTTTTTGGTATCCCCTTAAGTTTTGGGTGATTTCGTTTTCTTTCTTTGTGGGGGTCTTCCGTTTTCTTTCTTTGTAAGGTTGTTCCGTTTTCTTTTTGTTGAGCTTTTTATTTTTATTTTTGTTATTTTTCCCTTTTTTTGTTTTTTGGTTAGGTTTTTGGTTTTCTTTTTATTGGCTTTTTCCGTTTTCTTTTTGTTAGGTTTTCTCGTTTTCTTTTTATTGGGCTTTTGGTTTTCTTTTTATTGGCTTTTTCCGTTTTCTTTTTGTTGGGTTTTCCGCTTTCTCCGTTGATTTTTGTTTCTTTGTTTTATTTTGTTGGGTTTCGTTTTCTTTGTTTGCTTTTTCGTTTTCTTAGTTGTTTTTTTGTAAGTTTTTGTTTTCTTTTTCGTATTCTTTGTTCTATTCTCTTTTGGGTTGGGTATGCTCTCTCTCCCTCTTTCTCTTTCTCTCTCTCTCTCTCTCTCTCTCTCTCTCTCTCTCTCTGTCTCTGTCTCTGTCTCTGTCTGTCTGTCTGTCTGTCTGTCTGTCTGTCTGTCTGTCTCTCTCTCTCTCTGTTTTGTATCTCTTCTTTTCTGCTCTGATTTCCTTCTCATTCTTCTTTGCAGAGCTGTATTTTTTATTTATTTATTTATTTTTTTACTATTATTAAGCAATTTAGATTTTTGTTTTAATATAAATGAGAATTAATATTTCTTGCGCTGTGAAGTTAATTTTCATTTTCATTTTTGTTTTGTTTTGTTTAAGATTACAGTTTTTTGTGCAGTTCCTAACAATTCCCTAAAAAGATATATGAAAATAAGTACATTTATGAATTTAATAACACAATCAGTTATATCCATACCATTAGAATTGTCAAAATCAACTCAAATAACCCATACACCATCTGAATTATTATTTCGACATAGATTGGATACTTTCTAAAATTTGTTTTGGTCGGTTACAGGGAAAAGATCGAGCGGTTCATCGACGAAAACAAAGCCCTTATGCGAAGAATGTATGGCGAATTCCTGGATAATTTCGACACTATACAACAGGTAAATATTTTCAGCGTATAATATCCTTAGTTGTCTTTTTAATGGATATATGGTTGTTTAATACGTTATATCATAATTAGTTTGTGATTGGAAGAGTATATATGTTATTCTAATTTGAAATAAGACATGATAATATATAATCATTCATCCATTACGAATATTAACCCATTCGCCACGGATTTACGTTCTGTCCCCTGTAGTTTTTGGTTAATTTTGTTACATACAGGTGGCTCCACATGTACTCAGCCAGCAAGGAGTCTATCAGTAATCCCTAGTTACCGACCCTGATTTTCCCATTCATTGAATTGGCGGGAAAATTAATATCATTGCTTTCGATGCTGTTATTATTGTTACTGATGTTGTGATTATTAAATAACCATTAGAATATTTTAGACAATGAAATGATACAAAAATCCGTTTCCTAAAGTGAAGGAAATGGGTAAACAGGTGAAATAGGTAGATTAACAGGTGAAATAGGTAGATTAAGAACTTGTGGAGCCATCTATGTGTAAATACAACAAATAAGCGTGTCTCAAAGTGGGTATGGCATCTATTCTTGCCACGTGTGGCGAATGGGTTAAATCTAATTAACTTGTTTCTTTGTTGCATAGGACCATTTATTGTAAATTGTTTTATTTTCTTAACTGACGTCAAAATTCTATTATGACGGGAATTATTATGTAAATTAGCATTATGAAATGATTATGTAAATCATGTTAGCATTATATGATTATACAGATGTAGTATATCTGTATGGCAGAGGTCAGGCAGAATGAAAATTTCATTTACAATTTTTTTTTTCTTTTTTTTTACATAAATGCATTGGATGAATTAATACATAAATATTCAGACTGATGCGTTACTTTATTTAGTTTCATTCTTTTGTTTTATTTTATTTATTTATTTTTTATTATTGTCCTCTATATTTCATTTTGCGCTGTCTCTTCTTTTTGTTATCCCCCCACCCTCTCTCTCTCTCTTTCTCTCTCTCTCTCTCTCTCTCTCTCTCTCTCTCTCTATATATATATATATATATATATATATATATATATATATATATATACATATATATGTATGTATATATATATATATATATATATATATATATATATATATATATATATATATATATATATATATACATATATATGTATGTATATATATATATATATATATATATATAGAGAGAGAGAGAGAGAGAGAGAGAGAGAGAGAGAGAAAGACAAATATATATCTCTCTCTCTCCTTCCCTTTTCTAATTTCCTTCC